AGTTCGAGATAAGTATAATCTGTCAGCATAATCAGATTCCTTTTTTGATCCTCGAAAGCGTCGCGTATCGCACGTTTATTCGCTGGGATGCTCTTATCAGGAAGCAAGGATTAACTTTGCTCGAAGAAGCAAAATTGTCTCGCCAATTATTAATCACGGGTATAAATAAATGGGGGTGCATAACAATTGAAATAGAGGAGTGTGTACTCATGATACTCTACATATTTTGTTTACGACAATAACAATATCTTTTTTGTTTTTCACAAATCTAAATCGATAATATCGTAATATCGTAATATCGTAAATCACTTGGGGAACCGCAACGAGAGAGCGGAAGATGTTTTTCCCTTTGACAATCGCACTCGCGCCACATGTGTTTCCAGATTTCCACGTCGCGCGAACGGGACAAAACGCTAAAAATATTAAGCGAATGCATTGCGATAACTTCCAATGCATTAGTCGGTCGCTTCGCGTGTTGAAAAACTTCTTGCTTTTCGCGTTTTCGACGCGACGTAACACGACGCGGTGGTCCTCAAATTCCCACGGTGGTTTCGCGGAGCATATCGCACCGCTAAAGTGGAAGAAACTTGTTCGTCACCTCGTTGTTCGCGCGATCACGCGGAGTTTTGTAAAATCGCGCCTAGAAGCGCCGATTTTTTCAATTATTCCGAACGATTCGTATTTGTCTTTCCAATGAGAAACCAACGTTCCATTGGTCCGCTGTTATATTTTTATAATACATACACACATCGTATGTGTATACATACGTATACAACACAATATTAACAAGTTTCCAACTATAATTGGTCTATCACTTATCATTAATAATAATGTCACATTATGGTCGACAAGCTCTACGGTTTGATAGGGTTCTATGGTCTGGGATACCGTCGCTCACGTTCGATACCGTCTGACTATGATTGGCCCGTATCACTTATGACGACTGATTCATGACGACTGATTATAATCGATTTGTATGGCTTACGTCCAATATACCGATATACCGATGTAAGTCGACTCAACCGAAGAGAGCGACTCGCTACTCTGATTGCTTCCAAAACGGAGCAAGATCGAAAGCATACTTCCCTCGCTTCGCGAAATGCAGACTGCGAATCTATTCGATATTATTTTATTCGTCTTGTCAGTTTTTTGTCGCTATTTTCTCAAAAAAGACCATTCTCAAAAAGTATTTTTTGACATGAAAAATTGTCGTGATAAATTCGTCTCCGCGCGGCATCACTGATTATTATCGTTCGTGATTCACTTAATGGTCATGCATCCGTTCTGGGTTCTCGGTTCTCGGTCTGCCGCCGTGACGGCCATCGCCCATCACACGGGCCGTGACAGGCAACATTGGAAGAATTCTTCTGAATCGGAGCACGATGACCACCTCGAATCACGTTCGCTCTTTACAGTCTTTACCCCGAGGGGCTGCTCCGAAATGTCCCTTATGAAAAATGAACACTCGACCGTTGGACATACGAGGTGATTAATTTTGAACGATCGAAATGTAAGAATTGAATAAATCACGAATTAAATAAATTGCGCGCGAGTAATTTTTCAATTATGAAACTCTACACACTGATTTTTAGAACAAGTTGGAAAATTTAAAGAAGCTGGAGAAAGACCAGAGAATTGTTTGCAGACCATATATATATAAAAACCACTTTATTTTTACAATATTATCAATCTTTAAATTATACTAATCGCTGATTCCATTATAACTCAACGACCTGTTAAATACTTAATATGCTTTCCTTATGCTTATGCAAGTAACGATTATAAAGATTAAAGAATTGAGAAAAAAATCGAGTTATTCTCCAAATAAAAATAACTTGATAACATGAAATAAAAAATTTCTATTTAGTGAATCAAACGTGTCACATTACTCACTCTGTTCGAAATTCAAGTTCCATCTCGTTTTATCTTCTAAGAATCATCATGTCAGCAACAGCTATTCTAATATTCACGCTAGTAGAATTTAATGCGAAAGAGTCATTGTCAAATTGTAATTCGTCAACGAAAGTCCATGACCAGGTAGGAGAATTAAGTCGCGCGCGCATGCAAATCCTTCACTATAGGTATACTGTAAATCCTTCACTATGTTTTCGATTCTCGATTAAAGAAGATTCGTTGACGACGATCGAGTCTCGCAGCGATTGTCGCAGCGATGGTTGAATGCACTTTCTCGCTATACTAAACGTAGTAAACGTCGTAAACTGAATTGCCGTCCCGGACGTAGGCGAGCTCGATAGAGCTATCGAGCTTCACTCTATGGACAAGGACGAGGGTGTCCTCGTTCGCGGCCGTCTGTTCCCGCAGATCCTTCTCCTCTAGCTTCCTCTAGAAATCACTCCTCGTAGCAGATACACTGGTGGTTGGGGCAAAATCCAACAAACATTTCCGTAAAGCTATTATATTTCGTAAAACTTTTCACGCTTAAAACAACTGTCATGTCTCAACATTGGGATACGTTGCAACTTGAAACTTGAAACTCGCTGTTAGTGAATATCAAGCCGACAATGCCGACACCGAACTGTCGCGTCGCGTCGGTGGTGAGCGATAGAGCGTTTCAGCGATTCGAGACGAGCTTGGCGACGACGGCGACGACGGCAACGGCACGGGCGACGAGATCGACGAAATCGACGAGATTCGAATCGAGGTCGCGCGGTCGGCGCGGCCGCTGCCGCGGTCGAGCTTCGATCGAAAAGACGAAACAAGACGAAGCAATAATTGCGAAGTCGGCAAGTCGGCGCGAACGAAATGCGAACAGGTACAGGTACAGACCGAGCCGAGCCGAGCCGAGCGACGACGACGAGCGAGTCGTTGGCGAGGAGCGTACGCCGGCTTTTACGTACGGACGCACCCCCGTAGTAACGGCAGGGCGCAGGATCGCTCTCCGACTCCGATGTCTCCGGGGATGGCTGTGGCGCATGTGCGCATGGCAAATGTACAACGGGAACGGGAACGGAGACGCGACGCGGCGGAGGGCCGCATACGAAAGCGCGTAGTCACCTATATACATATATATATATATATAGCCCCGTTCCGTCGACCCTCTCCTTCTCTGCCCTTCTTTCGTCCTCCTTTTTTTTCCTCTTTCCCTTCTTTCCTGCCGTCCTTTTTTCCTGCTCCCCTTCTTCCACATCTTTATAAATGTTTTCTTCGCCTCTATTACGCCCGCATTGATGCACTTTTTGTTATTTTTGTTCTTGGATTACATTAATGATGACGAGAATCAACATTGGCTTCGCGTTCGAAGATACTTGGTTAAACCTTTCCTCTCATACTACGTAGTACGTATACGTGTATCCATCTCGTTCTCGTATTTGTTCGTGCGCATCTCTAGATGCGGCGCTTGTTCACGAATCCTTCTTAATTGTCGTATACGACTCTAAAAAAATGCACGCGCGAAACGTTATGTTAAGTTTTATTTTCTCTCATATGGTTTCATCATTGTTCAAAATGTTGACAACAATCGTAAACTCGAATAGATACGAGGCGCAAAGAAATCGATAATTTGGTACAAATCCATACAGGTCAATTGTTTTTAGCATATCTAAATCCGTTTTTTTAAATATATATCTGACTTGCATTTTGCATCATACTTAGCTCCTACGGTTATAATTCACAATAAATAATCCGGTCGAAACGTTTCGGACGAAACGTTTGGAATGTTTTCCACTTTTGTCCTGTGTCATCCTGTTGATGATAATGACGAGGACATCGAGCGATCAACATAAAGCAGAAACGTTTCAAATCGATCTATCCCATCGAGAAGAGATATTTGACATTTTATTTAAAATTACATATTATGCATACAAATATTAGCTTTTGTACTTAATTTGCAAATGCTCGATCGCTTTTAGCCGTCGCGGATAATTTTAGTAAGGCGTAATCGCCCCGCATATTTTTCTTCAATATATCTTGCAACTTTGCGATACTCGATCATCCTAGTGATCCCAGTCTACGATCTTTTCCTTTGTTCTACCCTTCATGATGTTTGTTTAGTTTTTGCACCTTCTTAGCTAACTCCGCACGTTTTCGCCGCGCCGCACGCCAATCCTCCAGCCTCGATTCCTTTTCTTCTGCGTAATTCGACGCGAAAACGACAGCTCCGATATCGTCCATGAAGCATACGCGCGCGCGCGTGTGTGTGTGTGTATCGATATATCTCACACGGTGACGTCTGATCTCTATTCTCGTGCCGACGAGATGCTGGTTTCGACAAATAATCCGATAAAGGAATGGACGAAAAATTTCAGCATGCAATTCTAGAAATGATGAAATTTTTGCCGAAAAGAAAGATTTTCTAAAATTATTTTATTCGTTTCAAAGAGTGTAATGGGAAATTGATATTTGATGCTTACAACGTGTTACTTTGAACCATAATTTAACTTTAACTGATAAAACACATTAATTCTTTTTTTTTTTTCATAAAACTTTTCTCTGGTCTCTCGAAGGAGAGCAAGTGCATCGCTCGCGTTCCTCTCGCGACGCGGAATAGAATTTATCATATACGATCTTTGTGTCTCATTGTTCTCGCCGTCGCCGCGTCGCTCGTGTATAGTAGGTATACAGCGCTTCTACTCGATCGTTCGCTCCGATCGTACTCGCTCCCCGTTCACTCACGCCACTCACGCCTCTACGCCTCTAGGCCTCTACGTTTCTACGCTTCTACGCCTCGCGAGAGATTTGAAGGAGAGTTCAAAAAGAACATCGAAAGATACACCTCCACGGTACAAACGATCGCATCCAGCGGCAAGCAGTTTTTTCCTCAAGAAATGACCGCATGATATGATGATGATTTTAGTGATATCGTCTCGCAACTTTTGAGCACAAGAGCACAGTTTTGAAAAAAAAATTAAATTAATTTCTAGGATATCTTTCTTATCTATGAAGACTAAAAATTATTGCAATATCAGATTATTGAATGGGCGAGAAGAGAAATATTTGCCAACTCACCAATTGTCTTGGTGATGCAGACGAAAATTCATTCGTCATCTTTCACATCTGAAGATGTACTTGACGATGCGCATTAGGCTACGTATCTTGGCGATCACCTCCTCTTGCATAAGATTAAAACACATAGCAATCAGCGCCATTCCTGAACATACAAAAATATATTACGAGTGATTCGACATCTTTGTAAAGTCTGTATCGATTATTAGATTAGAGCGTGATTTTAAGCATCACGGATATTATATATATTGAGCCAATTGTTGCGCGAATTGAGAGTACGGAAGCGGTTGAAACGTTTAAAAGCACTTGAATATTTTCCGCGAAAAATCTGCCTGGCAATCGGGTATTGATTGAAACGAACTTAATGCGCTCGCAGCACGGAAAGCTGTATGGCAACGGGTGAAATCGCGTTGCAGGATTTAAAGCGGTTAATCCCTTTTAAAACGATTGTCTTCGCGCCGTGGCGTTGAGCGTCAAAAATTCTGTTCGGCAATCGGATTTCTTAAAAAACTAGCCTTTTATTTTTTATCTCAATTTACTGAGGACTGAAATGTGCACGATTAAATAATTTTAATACTATTGATCTGTAACGTAATAACGTAATAACGTAATAACGTAATAACGAGTAACAAAAGAGCAATAATCGAACGAGTGTAAAGGCAATAATCTTCTTTATGAGGGAAAATTTTATTCGGAGCAGTTGTAAGAGGATTTTCTTTGAAGGAAGCTCTAAATCTCTTATTGACTTTTGTATATAAATACAATAATAATAGATGCGTCATCATACGTATGTGTATAAAACTTACCGAGCATCAAGTACATGGAACAGAAGATGAAAGATAAATCAAGGCCTTGCCCGGAGTAGATCTCGTCGCCAGGGACGATGTCGCCGAAACCTATGGTCGACAAAGACACGAAGCAGAAGTAAGAACCGTCCAGCATATTCCAATCCTCCCATATCGAAAACAGAATTGCTCCGCCCCAAATATACCTAATATCGAGAGCAAAAAGTAAAGGAAAGTCAATGCTGTCAGTTCGGGTTGTCAGACGTACGGTTTTGCCGAGAGAAAGTGACGAATTTCCGAAAGAAAGTGACATACAAGTTTAATCGTGGAATATTAAACTCGTAAACTGAGCGTTAATATGTTAACAGCAATGTTAATATGACTATCCAAATATAACGCATCCGAAAATTATATACTTGATAATCTTACCTTAATAGAGCTTTAATTTGAATTGAATTGAAATTTGCCAATCACGAAAATTATAGTCACTCACCTGGTGAAAAAATGTCTCATATTTTCTCAGAAATTTTATAAGAATTGAGACTTATAAAAAATTCTAAAAAAAAAAATGTATAAAATTTCTCAGATACTCTCAAAAATAATTGGATGAGAATGATTTTCGGAATCCGTATGTATGAATTAATTTCTGATAAATTGCACAGATTTTCTCATATTTATTCAGATTTCTACAAAGATATATTGGCGGGAAAAATCTGAAATATTTTATTATTATTTTATCTGAATTTTTCTGAAAATGTTCTAATTCGTATAAAACATCTGAAAAATTCTGAGACATTTTTCCACCAGAGTTGTAACTTTTCAAATTAAGTTATGTCGAAAAAATTTGCTATATATAAGTTGTAGTTGTGTATGTATAATATAAATACAGATAAAAAACTATTCTTATATTTCCTATCAAGAGCAATGAAATTATTGTCATTTCTTTTTAATTCATTTATCTATCCATTTACGACCTTATAAAAAGTAAATCTTTTAATTAACTAAAATATTAAATTAACATGCGGTCCTATTACATCTCTCGTCAGATACTCACCCTACCATAATAGCGAGACAGAGAGTTAACGGCACCGTCACATGCTGAGGATCGTAGCTCTCGTCGCTCTGCTCGCTCTGGTCGTCATCGTCTTCGTTGTTGCCGTCGCCTTCATTAACGGTGCCGTCGCCACCGTTGTCGTCGTCTCTAGGCAAAGTTTCCTCTACGTCCAAACTCGACGTATCTACCTCCCCGCCATACGTGCTTACAATCTGCAGACAAATTTTGTTAAATATTCTCTTATTCTGACTTGATATCTCAAAATTACCAGAATTTTCTCTCTCTCTCTCTCTCTCTCTCTCTCTCTCTCTCTCGTAACGAACATAATAATATCGAAGCCTTTGATATCGAAGAAATTTGTTTTTCCAGCCCGGTCTCCGTTTTGCATTCCGGATATATGAAAGTAATTCTCAAGAAAGTATAAGGTAATTCTGTATGAAAGCTCAAGTCTACTCCACCGCATCACGATGCTACTGATTAGAGTGCGATAGGATTCTAATTCCGGTTGCAGCGTTCGTCGCTTACCAACTTACCTGCCACCTGTCTCTTTTTGTAGCCGGATCATTTGATATCTCCGACGTTCTCGCGCTTGCCGCACCATACGGTCTTTTTCGACATCTTGAAAAAAAATTAAAATCATGATTAATTCAACGGTTTCAAATCTGACAAAATTTGTTACGCTATCAAAAAATATACTAGAAACATTTATGAGAATGTGACACACTTTTAAAGCGAGGAGAAGAACGGTCTTACTTGCACAAGCAACAGCGGGCGTAGGTCCATTTGAAGCTTCTGGCCAGAATGTCGCCGATGTTGCTGAGATAGAGAAGGAAAAGCGGCATCCCTATTATCGCATACACTATAGTCGCGACTTTGCCCCATTTCGTTCTGGGATAAAGATTGCCGTAACCTGCGCAATAAACGAGAACGCGGCAAGTGAGTTTATCGACGAGCTTCGTTGCTTCGTTGCTTCGTTGCTTCCTCTCGTTTCTTGCTTCACATCCATCCCGTACGTGAACTGATTCATTTTTTATTAATTTATTGCCCGCGGTGTTTCTCTCAGGTAGAAACCCAGTATGGTGCCGTTTGAATTATTAATGAAACGAATACGCGTGATTAAAATATTTATTCCAAAGAAAAAGAATATATACCGAATGTCTGAATATATAAAATTACAATAAAAAATATATATTATCCATAAGGGGGGGAGGAGAGAGAGAGAGAGAGAGAGAGAGAGAGAGAGAGAGAGAGATTTACGAATTTACTTTTATGATTAAAACAAAAATCTCTTAAGGTACGGATTATGTTCAGCAAAAATATTGTCATGTTCCAAGGACAATTTATTTGTGTATTTCGACAGTGACTATATTATCTCGATATATGTCCTTAGATTTTTTCTTCACAAAATCCTACTATTATCATATCTGAATTAAGTAGCCCTCGGGTAAGCGTGTAACTCTATCATCGCAACGACATTCATAGAGCGTCAATTGTTTCCTGATAATTCCTGATAATTCAAGCAGACGCTGTTTCAGCAGACACATCCTGTATCCGTGAGAATTTGACCGCGTGTGCTATTGGATACTGAAAGTTTTAGTTTTACCTCGCAGGAGATCTAAACAATTCCGAGGAACCTACTCGGACATTTTCATGTTTCATAAAGTAGCAAAATTTGTTTCATCAAAATCGAGCAAGTAAAAGTCTTTAAGAGGAAAGAGGAAAGCGTCGCGCGTTTATAAGTTCTATTTGGGCCTCTGAAAAAATATGCACCGTTTTCTACAACGTGACGAAATGATTTTCCGCGGCATTAGTGGCAATCGCGCGAGGCGTCGAGTCGCGTCGCGTCGCGTCGCGTCGCCGTCGTCCACGTCGTCGCGAGGATCAGCGGTACACTGAAGTAAATTGTTAATCGTGTTTATTCGCGCCCGTTTGTCCAGTCTAAAAATTCGATTTTATTATATTAATCTTTTTATAGAAAGATATTTTTCGGTGAAGGAGGCTTCTCTCTCTTTCTCTCTCACCATCGATACAACATTCTGGCAATCTATTAACGACTACTATTATCGCGACAATAGTATCCGTTTATCGAGCGACAACTTTTGTTGATATTTCCGCGGTTTCAATCTCTAACTTTTGGCCATTTATCATTCTCAAAAAGAGCAAAAAGTATGCAGCAATACAAGCTCTAGTCTAGTACCAAAAAATCGTCGAATCGAAGCGCGATGTCAGAGGCGAATCAGAGCGTGCCTTGTAATCAAGCAAAAGCCACCGCGAAAAAAAGCTTGTTCAGCTTCTCTTTTTTTTCATATATAACGTGCACACAAATATGTGAAATATGTGAAATAGGGAAATACAAAAGAGGAACGTGACGAGGGTATGTATTCAGCATGTCGAACTTCAGCCTCCAAAGAACATGCCAAATGGCCGGCTAGGCTCCGGGATACACGAAACGTAAACTTTATTTCCGAGATCTCGTTTTTCTTGTAAATTGCAGTAAATGCAGTGATTCTTCTTATCGTAATGTTGCGTTATAATAGTATATTGTGCACCAAAGGGCGAAAGTAGCGTTTTTCAGACGAGTGTTAAGTTTGCCGCCCGAGCTGAAGGCGAGGGCGACAAATCACACGAGTCTGAAAAAGCTTTCGCCCCGAGGTGCACACAATATTTTTCACAATATCTTTACGGAAAGTTCGACTTTCATGCCTAGAGAGAGGCGAGAGTGGCCGTTTCACGCCAGGACGGCATAGCGGGACGAAAGTGATCACTTTCCGCCCTAGGGAGGAAAGTGGTTACTTTCGTCCCGCTAATGCCGTCCTGGCGTGAAATTGATCACTTTCGCCCCTCTCTATAGGCATGGAAAGTCGAACGTTCCGTGGAGGTGTTGTGAAAACAAAAAGCCATTGCGCGACATAATTTTTATCGATTTATATTTTAATTATTTTCAGTCTTCGACATTATCCGGGTTGTTTTCGATAACTGACGCAACGCAAAGTCGGTCGTTTTGGATTAACACAGAATTAATGAACGATACGAAATATTCGATATCGGTGAGGCATGCTCTCCATGAAATTGTAATAATAAATCGATGAATTGCACATTAGGCAATTAATTCTAAACGCTCACACAATTCAGTTGGTGATCATGCATCATTCAATAAATAACATTCAATAAATTAGTATTTTTAGTTTAGTTTTATTTCGATGCTGTATCTCTGCTGTACAACATTATTTTATACATTTATTTTAAAACGACGACTTAACAACGTTATATATAAAAACTTGAAAGAAATTTAAAATCTATGCGTCAAAAGTGATGCAAGTCTTTTATAATTAATTGATTCTTAAAGTGCTAATCGCTACATAAATCACGGTCCCCCGGTTATTAAATATCTCAAATGTCATCGTTAATATTATATCGTATATTGTCCTATGGCATAAATAACAGACATTGATAATAATCGACGAAAAGCGGAGAGAGTGGCGCTCGATGAAAGTCGCGAAATTGGATTATATTGCTCGACCGTACTTCCTGTATTTCCCTCGTATCCGATGTCCTCCGTGTAATCGAATCGCTATCGAGAATTACTTGTCGTACGTCTACGGTGTGTTCCGCGACGACGAATTTGCGGACTGCATACCGAGGACTTGGTTAGGCCGGAAATTAATTAACGCGCGCTGATCGTACGATCCCTCAGGATCAAGGAAGCTTGCTCATTCGCTCATTCGCTCATTCGCTCATTCGTTCGTTCATCCGTTCATCGCAAAGACATCGCTGTTGATCATCATCAACGATCGATGTTCCGTTTGGCCATTAATTAATTTCTTTAGCGTCTATTAGGCTAGGTTAGTAGTTAATCTGCTGGACGTGCTAATAGACGCATTGCAATATTCGACGACGACATCATGTAGGACGCATCCGTATTTTTGTAAAAAGTTTGCACACTTGAATATTTTTTTTACGAAATAGGTATATAGGTATACATATCCACTCACATACGTAACTACCTCCATCGATAGATACAAAGTATTATACATAAAATAAGTAAGTTTTTCCCACATAAAACAACTCAACTAAAAGTTAGATTATTAGACTAATTGTAAGCGAAACACTCTGCTCCTGCTGACAATTTCTCAATTGTCCTCTTTACTTCGAAAATGAAAAAAAAATCGAAAACATGATTAATTCACCTGGATGTAGATATTGATTGATACCTATAGCTTCGTTTACACATCGTTTACAGATTATCGTGAATTTCAGATATATAATAGCCGTAACATCACAAGAGGATGTGAAAGATAGTTGGTAACATAATAACGCGATATAAATCAAGCGCGACAGCGATTGTCTGACATCACCGCGGCAACGGGCATAATTAATTTTCAGAGGGAATCATTTCGCCGTTAAACTTCTTGACAAGCCGATAAATTGACGCCGCGACGAAATCTCCCGCGATTAATCCTCACGATAATTGATCGCCAACCACGTACGCGACACTGTCGCGTCGCCTTCGTCGTTCTAGAGATTCTAAAACGACCTAGACAATCTAGACGGAAAAATAACGAACGTATATACGCATCACAAGTACGTGCGGGATATTGGTTCCCGTATTTTTGGTTAATCGCCAATAATTCCCTGGCCGGAGGCCCGACCCGCACGGACTAATGTCCCTGATATGTCTCGCACGTGATACCTATTACACGTACGTGCGTGGCAAGACAAGCGTGTCGTTACGCCGATAACACCATCCACGTCGATTCGAACGCTTTAACATCCGGGGCTTTTAATTAATCATCTCTTGTAGGCATCAGTCATTCGCAGTCTCAAGAGTAACTTGAAAATATTTGCGGAATTGTCCAAATTACTTTTTATTATAAAAATTCCTCCCCCTCCCTCTTCTCTCACTGTTAGTCCAGTTTGTATTAACTAACAGCTTCTCCGCTATTTTATTTCAATTCTTAATTTTAACTTTATCATGTCCTAATCCAACTTGTTTCATGTACTGCCGAAACATACTTTGAATTACCACCAATGAAAACGAGTGATATGACGAGTGCATATATCATGTTAATTTATGTCATGGCGTGTTGCAGTAAATCATCGTGAAAGCGAAAGAGGATAAAATCGGGCGATCTCGGCTGCCAAAATTGTCAGTTAGTGAAAATGATAAACATTGCTCGCGGCGCACGCTACACTTATGCCCTATGTGGTTATATCGGCGCTTTAGTATTATCATGTACACCACTAAAACTAAATGCACATAGCTGACGTACATTTAGTGTCGAAGCTTTTACGTGTAAATGCGCGCGACATGGTCTGAAAATATATCTTCATTCTCTTACGATTTCAAATTAAGACTCATTGCCAATAAAACGTAACATTACAAATTTGATGTTTTAATAATTAAATTATAGATATTCAATTTAAATTAATGTTTGTCAACTTTCAAACTAATTTTAATATTCAATATTAATATCTTGGTGGTTTTGATTATAAAATTCTGAATTAAAATTCAAGAACTAAAGAATTTAAATTTCAAAGAATTTGAGATTAAACTTGAAATCGCGTCGCCTTTAAGAGAATCCATATAAAAGAGTTTTTATATATGCTTTTACATTTTA